ACAGGTTGTTAAGAATATGGTAGGCAATAAAATATGTGAAAATGAGCCAAATCGAAGGTGACGTGTTTTTTGCTATTTCAATATTTGTGCTTAAGAACAGAGTTAAGCAAATTTCAAGGTCATATATTTAAGTAGGTGCAATTTTAAACAAATGCTTAAGAAATAACCTAAACAGTAAGGTTTATTTCATTCAAATCAAACAAGTACAACCGAAGTTATGGTCGTTCAAAAATATAAAGATGCAACATTTTATAAAAATTTGATGCCCTATATTCAGAAGACCTGTGGTCAGAATGTGCAAAAAACATCAATGTAATGTCCGGGGCCACACAGGAACTCGCTCACAAATTTATAATGAAATCGCTGATGGTAAGGTGCAAAACAGCCGATTTTTGTTCGATTTGACGTGGAATGCCCCTGTGGCCGGTTCATCTACTGTCAACTATGATGAATCCAAAGTAATGCAAATGTGATGTTGGTAATGCAGCTGGCAATGGAATGCTAGCGAATGCTCCGGGCGCCCAGTAGCTATAAGGATTAAGATTATTTTAATATCTATGTCTCCTGAAATTTTCATTGAATATAATTCAAGCAATAGAAAGATCGTATCGTTCACCAGCTTTTGACCGGCTGGCGTTTCTTACGTAGAGCGCCCTTTGGCAAATAATTAGGTATCACGCAGGTTTTTTTTTTTTTTGCTGGTAAGATGGTCTTTAACCCGCGCCCTGCTGGGGGGGGGGTGTTTGAACACCCCCCCTTGTGGTTTTTCGCGAATATCTCAAAAACGGCGGCGCTCCGCGCCGCCGTTTTTGGTACACCTTATCATACATCAATTCTACACATGTTGTGAAAATTTCAGACCAAGGTCATTCAAGGTCAGGTCACCAGGTCACTTGAAGTGACCTCACCTCATAAAAACTTTCAATGTCTGTCATAGCTACACCGAGTGACCGATCGCTTTGAAACGTTCAGCGATTGCTAAGACCAATAGCATGTACAAAATGTATATCTCAGAATTTTGATATCGATGACCTAAGGTCAGGTCAATTTTGCGACCTCCCCATTATAAGTCAATGGGAGAAAATTGAAATGCGCCTCTTTTGGATGAAAGACATTATAAACACTTCCAAACACCGAATTACAAGTGGTTTAGACACACTGAACTTGAAAATGGTGTCCGTGACCCTTGTTTATGCCCTGAGGTCATCTTAGGTCACGAATGGTATCTAACAGTTTTTCGCAAATAATTTTTGATAGAGGCATGCTAGAGCGATGAAAACGCCTTAGATGTGTGTTCAGCTCGACGATACGGATCGACTGATATGCAACATGACCCTTTCCGGTCAGGTCATGACCTTGACCTGAGGTCAAATTTTCAAGTTGACCTTTCAAGGTCAAGTCATAGTTCATTCGATGCGTCTTGACGAGAGGAACACGATGCCGGTAAAAGTAAGCTCGTACAAGGCTTGGGTCAAAAGTTATTGCAGAAAAGCTGTTTTCGAAAAAATCGGCTATTTTTGCAGTTTTTGCCCCCTGCAGGCAAAACCGTTGACGTTAGGTCAAATCTGAGAGAATTACTCAGAAAGGGCGTTAATAGGGCTATCGAATGCGCTTTTCCGCAGCGCTGTAGCTCTATTGGTTCCCGAGTTATGCGTTGGCTTCTTGGAAAATTTCGACATTCGACCTGGAAATCGGCGAAATTTTGCCTTCAATGACCTCTGGTGACCTGACCTTTGACCTGACCAAAAAATTGACCGAAGTGATTTCGTCATTATTTTTTACGCTCTTTCGAACGCCGCCTTCCGCGTATCGCTACGTGGCCCAGGAGCCGAGTTACAAGGGGGGGTGTTCAAACACCCCCCCCCCCCAGCAGGGCGTGGAAATCCAGGACCCCCAGCAGGGCGCGGGTTAAGGTCAGATCGAGTCGCTAAGAGAAGATGAGGAAAAGTGGACGAATGCTACCTTTTTTTGTGCATGAAGTCTCGAGTTAAAAAAGCAAAAAGTTATTATACGTGTAAGCTGAAAACAATAAGATCAGTTAATAAAAACATTTGACCCGAAATTAGCCTCTGTTTTGTCGGACCATGATTGCGTGTAAGTCGCCGGTCCAACTGGGTTCAACCTAACCCAACCGGTTCGGCTCCCCCTTTTTCAATATAAATTTGGCCCGAACCTTTTGAATGAAAGGAATCACAAGGAAAGAGTCCCCGCTAAGCTGAGCTTGTTGCGTTGACCCTGCTCTCTACCCTCCGATCAAGCAATTTCTGGTCTATGGCAGAATTTAGAGTCCAAATTTTAACGTGCGCACATAGCCGCGCACGGCCGGTCCCCTCACTGACTTCGCCTGGCAGCGGCCTGCCACCAACCACAACCATACCCGTCAGGAGCCTGAAAAAAACGTCAAGCACACGTCGCGTTTCGAACCCGGACTTTTGCAACCGGGACGTCGTGCGCTCTCACCACATGGCACATGGAGTCCAACGCTCTACCGACCCAATACCGACCGAGCTACCGGGACGGACATTTACCTGGGGGTTCGCCTCGTGACATTGACAGACGTCAGACACTGGCCGAACTTTAGCCGAAACACTGAGCAAGCTGCGCAGGGCGATAGGTGCTCGTAGCGTTGAGGTTGGGTAACCTGTGAGCTGAATGCGATGTCGTGAGTTCGAGCCCCACTCCCGGGTCTGGTTTTATCTAGACACGAACCAAACCTTTCATTCTACTGCAACGCAGATAAGCACGATGACATCTTTCCCCAATATCTTTCCCCAATATCCTCTCCAAAAGTCAAAATTATCGCTTATAAATGTTTAGCTAAGCTCTATTTCTTGGGAAAATATTTTTGGTCATTTGTCTGGAGCCATTTCAACACTTTTTTTCTTTTCTGATTCTTTTCGACCCGATAAAACCCACCAAAACTGAACGTGCCAAATGAAAAAGATCTAACTCAAATAACAATTTAGAAAAGCCTCATCATGCATTATGAAAAGCATCATGCAACTATCGACTGAATAGTTGCATGCTATGAATACGTCCTTTAAATTATCAATGTTCAACATTTTGGCTGGAACTGACGCTGCCTCTTGATTCCCTTCAGTCGCGTTCTTGCCGGTTCCACAGGAACAGGATACCACCATACCGGAGTGAACGCACCCGCAACCATCATCCCCTCCCCTCAGCCTCGGCGCAGTGGCGGGCGGCCCTGGGCGGCCCACTCCCGGCGCTACGCACGCCCCATGCGCCGTGATACCGCGTCACTCCCCCTCCCTCCTTCCCCCACAATGACCGTTGACCTCACTTCCCTCGGGATTTGGACTCGCCCTACCCCGACCGTAGCGCCACGTGGTGGCTCTGGAGATCTTAAATAGACCCACTGTACACCGCCGACCGCGTGCCGTCCTTTCGCAACCCACAGCCCGTCTCATTATCAGCTGACGCGGCTCCGTCAGATCTGCCCCACCAGTTTCTCAACGGCGGCTCACAGCCGGCCATGAACCCATCATTACCAGCCGTTTAACCTCGCCGCTATTTACTGGCAAACTGAGCCAGAACGGGCGAGATGGTGTGAAAAACGGCAGCTCTGCTTCTGTCGAGATTTAATACGATACTGCTTCTGCCAAGATGGAATAAGATACGAGTAAAACCCGTGATTAATTTCAAATTAAGCGGGCTGAAGGCCGATTCTATGCGTATCTATCGATAGCTCGATGTCGAACGTAGCCGTGTCAGGGGAGAGAGGGGGCGAGGGAGTGGTAGAGAGAAGAGGGAGGGTGTGGTCGAGCACGCGCCGGTCCCATTGAGACAGACATGTCGGCACCCCTCTGAGAGCGTTGCGACAGCCGTGTGACCAGACTACCAGTGCCCTGGTTAGCACCGACACCAGATGATAGGACCCGTTACACGGGGTACCATGGTCGAGAACTATAGCCATGCCGATTGCCGGCTGCTAAAGTGTCATCAATTAGAGTGCTGAGTTTTCCGTCTATCTTTTCCTTAGATGCTGGTTCGCCATCATTCGTTTTCCCTTATAACCATTTGGCATTTTCATGCTTCATGTTGGCTTTGCGGTTGCTATTTTGCATTACTTAATTCTCCATCTCATTAGTGATTAGATTGTAATTGTGTCACCTTTTTAATCTCGACTTAAAACGAGCTCAACTTTATTTATATCGCCACCTAGTTAGTTTTTTATCAACAACGATCTGACCTACTTCAGTATCAGTTGGTTTATCCCATATGTTGCTATAAAAAATATAGGTAATTCTACTTTTTCATGCTGTCTCGGTCACGGTCGGCAAAGATAACCAATACCAACGCATCAATGGATGCAATCAAAATCAATACACAGCGGAGTGTTGCAAACCCGAACAGGTATTTACGTAAAGGCAGAAGGCTGGTCTGGCATTCCAAATCCCAATGCATGTGGATGCCAACAACAGACTATAATGTGGTGTAGTGGGACTAAGGATACGTGTTGCATGAGAGATAATGGCTGTGATATTAATCAACCAGCTACCAAGTCGCCTTCTCAAAAAGTTACACGCTGTTGGTCAGTATGGCGAAAAGCTCAAGAACTTTCATAGCCATCACTATCGTCACTGCGTGTTGCTTTCATCAGATAATAAGACAAGAGGCATATTCTCATAAATGACAATCATGGTAGTCATTATTTACCACAAAATTTCCCAGTGAAATCATCAGCTGCTTATTCCGCGTTTTCAAAACCATCAATAATATTGCATTTACACTGCATTGTCTCCTGTAATCCCATTAGCTCTCACCTCGTGCATACAATGCACTCTTAGTCTTAACTGATTTCCCGGTCGGTCTGGTTGGTTTGAAACCGGCCGCTCTACATATACCTAGGTCCTAGGTAGTGTTACGTAATAAGTTTAATAAACCAGCTGCATTTCTTCTCCTTTCCAGTCGGCTCCAACCACCCACTTCATCTCCCAGCCACCTGTTCCGTTGCCTTCAATCGCCCTCTCCTATAGAGTTCACTCTCCAGTCGTGTCTCCCTCTTCAGTCGACCAAGAGGGAGACACGTTCGTCGCCGCCTTCTGTGGTACCTCCAGTCGGCGGATCCTGCTACCGAGCGACACGCTGGGGTCGGTGATGAAGCGCCACACCACACCCGGCCAGGAGTCGTAGCTGGGCAGCTGGGAGTACACCTCGGGCACCATGTCACGCAGCTCGGACAGACGCTTGTTGGGCACGTTCGGGAAGTCATGGTGCTCGTTGTGGTAGCCCTCGTTCCACATGAGCTGGTTCATCCAGCCGTAGTAGCTGTACGTCTCGTGGCCCTTGGTCAGCTGCATGTGGTCGGAGATGAAGTGACCGGCTAACGGGTGGAGGCCCATGGTTAAGAAGAAGCCGCCGATGAGGTAGACGAACGGCTTCAGGCCCCAGTGGGAGAGGAGGACGTAGTCGAACGCCAGCTGGACGGCGATGTTGAACAGCTCCAGCCGGGTGGGCGGCAGCGGGTTCACGAACAACGGCCGCGTGTAGTAAAAGAACGGCTGCAGGATCACGAAGATCAGTTTCCCGATCGCAGACGTGCCGAACAGACGCGCCTCGAACTCCGTCGGCACGTCTGCGTCCATCTTGGCGTTGCCCTGGTACTTGTGGTGCATCAGATGATACCTTTTGAACGCCACGGCGCACGGAAAGCCCATCGGCAGATTGGCCAGAATCCCCAGCAGCTGGTTCGGCAGCGGGTACTTGTAACCGAACGCCTGGTTGTGGCTGCACTCATGGATCACAGACCATAGACCATGCTGGAGAAAGCCACCGAAAAAGTACGCTACGGCTATCAGTACCGGCCAGGACATCAGCCTCGTGTAGTAGGCCACGGAGAGCTGGACTCCAACCAGACACAGCGCCTGCCACTTCAGCTCGGGGTTGTGTCCGAACAGGCCCCTCACCTCAGGGTGTGCTTCAAGGATCTTCTTCCGCCGCGCGGCGTGAGGCTCGGGCTCCGTGGTATCGTCAAACCACGGCTCAGCGGCCGCGCGCGGGGCCATGGCGGCGAACGGTGGCGCGGCGGAGACAAAAGAGACGCGCGGTTGACAGGAATGGCGCAGCAGTGGCCGGAGCGGTACGCGGACTGACCGAGCCCGAGGGCAGACGTGGGGCTAATGAAGGATGTGTTGTCTGAGCAGCGATGGGTTATTACCTGAACACTTGACAGCGATCAGACCCACCCAGCTGTGTGCGATCACCGAACGAGTGAAGTGTGCAGCGTCGCCAGGGGCGGACGGTTTAAGGACGCTCAGTCAGTCCCAACGTCCGCGTCAGAGTTACGTAATTCACATGATTTGTATAGCATTACAAGGGATAGAGGTCCGTAGCAACACAGAAGGGCTAACTGCGTCTTAGAGCCTCAGAACGATAGCATGAGCGATTCAAGCTGACTAGCTACAATCTACGACTATGATTTGTGCAACTACTGCAAAGCCGAAGCGTCGGTTGCTAGCCAAAAAAATAAGTTTCATTGTGCTTACCTATGACGTTTGGGCTGCCATCTGTACTGATAAGTAAACACGGCCTCTAGACCGCGAACATTTTCATACGAGGTTCATTCAGGTGAAGTCTGTCAAGATTAATCAGCCGAAGGCTTTAAAGGTGTGATGCAATGTTTGTGATTGCTGTGCTGGAGAAAACTGATGTAGAAACGGGTAATGTATTTCTCGAACATAGATGAATATTAAGTACTGCTAAAGCCACATCAAAACACAAAACTTATCATTATAAATGACTTAAAATGCTAAAGCACAGTCCGTAACACTTAGCTGCGCAAGTACATGCACACAAAAAGGTTTTGAAGTACTTTATCATGATCGCGAAATTAGAAAATTTGTACGCTATTCATAAACTAATTATGATGGCATGGAGAATGTGCAAATAAGTTGCGACGAAAACCGAGAGATCTTTATCAAACCGTGGGTGATAAATACCATGGCTCACCCATAGTCAAGCTGACGAAGCAAGTTACATAAAAACGGACACACCTTACGATGCATTTTGCGCAGATTACTTATGAATAACACAACTACAAGCACTTCATATAACACAACACAACATCAAAGACCCACGGTAGAATACAAGTACAAACGGTAAATGCGTTAAGTTGTTGCTGCCACTGTACGATAATATGCGCTTGTGGTATTCCATATTTGGCACCATAAGTAGCACTCAAAGGCGTTACACTAATGAGGCAAGAATTCAGAACATGTCACCACAAAATATTTCTTCTAATGATAGCGACCACACTGGCCAATACAGAAGCAGCTAGTACGCCAAAAAGCTCGTCATATCGAAGTTCAAAGGCACAGTGACGCCGGAAAGGCAGCACAAAGTGGGAATGAAGGCACCGGCCTTTATCTGCTTTACTTTATAGTTGGCACTTGGGTAGCACTATTCGGTGTTGAACTTCGGCGCATGTAAAGCTGCGTCCGATAAAGCCAGGAGATTCGACAAGATAAATCTAAAATCATGTCAGAAAGTGTAAAAAGAAATGAGGAGATTCATGGACTGAGATGACCTGATAATTTTCCTACAATGAATATCTTAAAACATGTCTGAAACAATGAAAACACGTCAAACTTCGAACAAGACAGATCTGTTAAGCATAATCTTTTTCTGGATTGTAAATTGGTCCTACCCGGGGAATGCACTAGCAAGAGCCATGAAGCCTGACCACTTGACAGTCGAATATCTTTTCACGTCATGGCACTTCAGTAGCAGTGGCTCCAGCTGGCGTTACAGTCACCATTGTCTGAACATCCTTTACACGACCCACATTGGGGATGTTAGTCACAAAATGGTCAGCAGTATAACCCTCTCGACATAAAATACCTACTGTTGACACCTTACAGTGGACACCTTGAGGCGACTAAGAGGCACTAACTCGGAAGAACTATACTGTTCTTGAAGAAGCCACTAGCCGACAAAAGCAGCAGAGGAGTAGCGACACTCTACTGAGGTGGCGATCTGTAGCGGCTCTACTCTGGGCTCGGCTTCGTCACCACACCTGTGCCTGCCGTGTGCTGCGGTGCCGCTCAGTAGCCGCGCCCGTAGTTCTTCAGCTTCACAAACAGGCAGCAGGAGATGATGACGCCGAAGATCTGGACGACGGAGACGCCGACTCCGACGGCGCCGACCACCACCAGGTGATCCTGGATCACGTAACCCATCTGGTGCACGCAGCCCTGTAGAACGGGGGAGGTCGGGATCAGTTAATGACGATAAGTTACGCAGTGCAGGGAGAGGAAAGAAAGCAATCACCGGTATACAGAAGTAGCTACCGAGGTTTACGCCAAAGATAATGATGAATGACTGGATACAGACGATACTTATTTGGCACTGACAGAAGGAGTAGAAAAAGGAAAATAACGCAATTAAAACGGAAGGATAACGTGAATGTCATTTTAACTGGCTAGGGCCTTGGTCCCTGTCCGATTCGCCTTGGTTAGTGAGCGAATGTGACAAGTTTTGCTGTCATCTCCAGTGACATGGTCATCATGTTATCAACACTCAGTAGCTCATATAACACGGAGCAAGCTCTCCCCACCTCACCCCCTCCCCTCCTCCCCAGCCCCCGACAGTTTCATATGACGCACGCGTGTGACCGACCGCCGCCGGTCGGGGTGTCGGCTCGGATTTCACGCCAGCGCAGCGCATTCTCATGTTTCCGTCGCACTGCACAACGCACACGTGAGCGGTCGGTGCGTTCAAACGTCGCTCTTTGTCACACCGCAGAGCCGCCGTAGGGTCGCCGCGGTTCGGAGGCACTTAGTGAAGTCATCCGAGGGGCTCACTTTTAGTGTCACGGGCTTAGGTGAGGTGTCCTGGCCGCTGTGGGGCCGACATTGACCTCATGGCTCACGACTATGACAACGGAAATGATCCAAACACCAAGACGGAAATTACGCTACAAGTGGCTTTCGGTTACGTGTGACCAGATTATCTTCACTTTTTTTCCTTAGTGCCCAACTGCCAGGCTGTGATTCAAAGTCCAAGCATCGCTACGCGATTATTCACGACTTCCGGCTCTCCCTGCTGCAACAAACGTCCCCAGCAGAGCCCCGTCATAGTACTCACGCCAGGGTTGATGTTGGAGGGGTGGTCGCGCCGGCCGCACAGAGGCTTCACGGACTTGCAGCAGCTGTCAGGCACCTTCCTACCCTCTGTGTCGGCCCAGTCCGTGTACAGCCAGTTAGTGTAGTAGGTGGCACCGCAGCAGCGGAACTGGGGAAAGTGGGGGAGACGTGTCAGTCGGGGACGATTTGGAAAAACACGGGTAAATAGTTCGTTGATGGTAAATAGGGGTCGGTTTTGAGACCAAACTGGTATAACCCCGATTAATGTTTTATTGCGGCGCTACGACAAATGGTTTAGGGTACGTCCAGCACTGCAACCGCTATCAGCAAGCAAATTATTAATACCGCAGCGTGAACACTGAACAAGGTCCATTTTGAGCTTAAAATCAGCGGATCGTAATTACTTTCTTATCATCTTCAAACGTCATGTCACATGTTTAGATATCCCATCTCGGTAGATTCCCGCTTCGCCCACCAACTCCACCACCCGTCTCCCGTGTTTTCACTCACGTCCTGTTGCATCTCGTCGATAGCGGCCGTGTACTCTGGCTTCCTGTTGTAGTTGTCGGCGAAGGTGGCGTTCAGGTGATGCGCCAGCTCCATCTGCAGCTGCACCTGGTACACGTAGGCCAGCACGCCCGCCATCGCCTCCAGCAGGAAGATCAGCAGCAGCACGAACGTGTACTATGTGCATTGTGCAGGGCAGAGTGGGCACGGTTAGAGGGCGGAGGGTTCGGAGAGCCCGTGCTTGAAACGGTGAGGAAAAGGGGGCACAAAATTGACTTCAGTGTGTGCGAGAATGTAGCGACGTCTGAAAGACGAAAGTAAATGATTTGCATTCATCCGCATTTACCGATGTTGAAAAAGATACCATCCAGCGATGTGGGAAAAATTGAGTGTGAAGCTACTCTCGCCCAACTGTCGGCACCAGCCACAATCTTAGCGAGCAACCGACCACCCCAATATCCTCCGGATATCTGACTCCACATCTCTCACCCACACACCCACCGCCACTCCGCGGTTCGTACCATCAGCAGGCAGGGCAGGCTCTCTCTGAGCGCGCCGAGGCAGCCGACCAGGCCGGTGACCAGCACCAGAACTCCGGAGGCCACCAGCACATAGGCGGCCGTGCTGAACGAGGCCGTGGAGAGCAGCAGCACGTAGGATGGCTCGCTGACCAGCGACCAGATGCCCACGCCGAACACGGCTATACCCGACAGCTGCCGGGTGTGGGAGGGGAGGGAGGGGTGGGGTGTCACAACAACACACAGGGGAAATGTGGAGGACAGGGGGAATAATGAATGAATGGGAATGTATGCAATCATTGCAACTTCCAGGGGTTGCAATTCAAATTCAAATTCCATGAGGTTGGGGGATAGCTGATGAATGGTTTAATTGAACTATGTTCTGTAAACTTAAAATCTCTTTTGAGGCCGATGCATTGTATTCAAAAGGTATGCCCCGTCGAAATTAAAAACAAAAACAATGCCTACATTTTTTAGACAACACCCCCTTTCTTTCGTTTTGTCCTACATTTCGAAATAAAATAAAACACGTGCTGCACGAACTCGGTAGCCTAGGGAGCCACCATATCGACAATACCCTATTATCTATAATACATGTAAGCTTTGTTCGTAACAATGTTCTCTTCAAGCTAGCATGCTGGTGAAAAAAAAATAGATGTTGAATGTTTAAATATTGAGCCATAAAACTTATACAATAATGCAACAAAGTTATTTCCAAAAAAGCTGTTTTACCTAAAATAAAGGTAAAATGTCAAAAATAGTCTTAGCTCACCATGAAAACAAAGTTAAACATGTATAGAACATATTTCAGAAAGTTGATGCTGCAGCAGCCTTCATCTTTAGACTCTTCAAAGTCCATTCTGAAACAGAAGAAAAATCATGACATTTTTAAAAACA